AACAGGACTGTCCGGAAGACAGCGCTTGAGTGAACCCTGCCAAGCTTGACAGCGTCTTTTAAGCTGTGTGGGAGAAACAGAGCGCCTTGACAAAGGAGTTTTACATATACATTAGCATGTAACTGGGGGATTAGCATGATGTTGGTGTGAGGGATTAGCACCACGGAGAGCGACGAGCTATGTTCAGACGGACGAGGGGAGGGGGGAGAGGAGCTAACATATAAATTAGCATGGAACTGGGGGACTAGCATAATGTTGGTGTGAGGGATTAGCAGCAGTTTACATATCAACAGTAAATTAGCATGTAACTGGGGGATTAGCATGATGTTAGTATGAGGGATTAACACCACGGAGAACGACGAGCTTGTGTTCAGACGGACGAGTCCATCTATGTTCGGAACGGAGGAGGGTGGGGGGAAGAGGAGGAAGCAGCCAAGGTGGGCTGCTCTGTCCTGTGTTGCGTTATAACTATGCTATAAACTGGACTACTATACATTACAATATTATACCTTCTCTCATGGTAGCCGGATGGCTTACAGAGAACCTCTGTCTTGGAGAAGTCAATGTCATGTGAGCCCACTGAATTATAACAGTGATCTGCCACGGCTGAGGTGTTCGTCCTACCGTGTTTCAAGTCTGCTTTATGTTCACGGATGCGGTCCGAGACATGTCGTTTGGTTTCTCCAATGTAGCTGCTACCACAGAGGCAACTTAGTTTGTAGATGCCCGGGTACCGTATGTCTGGAACCACATCTTTTAAAGACTGAACCAGATCACGGATTTGATGTACTGTGTTGAATCGGACCTGGATCTTGTGTTCCGACTACACAATCCGCAAAGCCATCACTCCAACCATGAAGGATGCTCTTGAGGAGCCATTCAAAACCATCACCTTACCCTACATTGCGGGAGTCACAAAAAGATCTCCAAAATCCTGAATAAATACAAGATCCAGGTCCAATTCAACAAAGTACATAAAATCCGTGATCTGGTTCCGTCTGTAAAAGATGTGGTTCCAGTATAGAATTGTCTATGTGTGTGGTTACTGTATGAAGGCGGGGAGCGGTGGTATAGCGGTTAGCGCGCTGCGCTACGATTCCCAATCACGGCCAACACCGGTGACAATGATAAAAATCGGTCCTGGGCCTCCCCTAGGTTGACTCAACCTCAAATAAGAGTACTTTGTGCGGTGTGTAAACTGCCCCAGCAGTCTGATCAAGGCTCTCTATACGGGGGATCTTTGTGTGAATGTGTTGGCGCTTTTGAGTGGCAGCTATTGCGCCAGTGTCAACACAAATACATTTGACTCGTCTGTTACGTGAGGGCCAACTCGCTGATGTCGTGTGAAGAGCAACGCGCAGCGCGGGTGCACCTAGCCTGGCACAAGCGCCGTGGTGACATCACCGCCACTTAGTCGCGAACGGCTGTTGTTGTGTTAAAGTAGGAATAATGTGTGCTGTGGGATACAGATTTCAACAAAAAACATCAATAAATCCATGAACGCCTTTTGGCGTCCTCTGGTCTAACACCGTTTTGAGACGAGGCTCAAAAGAAAGCTGTCTCTGGTGTGGACCAATCAGTTTCAAGGACAATGCATCATATATTATCATAGTATGTTTTTGTTTGCATTTTGACTGCAGGTATTGTGGTTAATGCAGACATGAATCCTCGTAAGAAGGTTTCAGTTTGGTGTTTTAACATCTTAACACAAACAGTTTTGTTGCCATAAAAAAGAGGGAAAAACCCTATTATCATAAATCCATGAACTTTTGCCCATTGCTGTTTGCCGTCCACAGAACGGCACACACCGCGCAACGCGGGGACAATTTTCACCTAGCGAATGGCAAACAAATGGTGTTTGCACTGCAAGTAACTGTACACGCTAGGGTCATAATAACTTACGGCTAAAGTAAAAAGGTACAAATGCTCTCGACTCAAGAGATCCGCCGCCCCCACCCTCCTGCTCCTCCTCTTGAGCGGTATTTGGCCTCCTCTTTCATGCTGGCCACACGTCTTGGAAGCCGTGCGAAGTACCCACGGTTTACCCCACCACACGTGACCTTCCGATGATATAGAGGGCGCCATGGTGGCTAGAAGATGTTAACTGCCTCGCCTGGTATACAGGAGGTCGTGGGTTCGATCCCGACCCTGACTCCGGTATATTTGGAGTTTTCGTGTCTCTCTCTCTCCCGTGGTCGCATGGATTTGTCTCCGGGCCCTCCGGGTTTTCTCTCCACATTTAAAATCAACATCACGCGTTTAGAGTAGTTGGCTCTTGCTATCTATTTCCACGTGATGAGCCAATTCATTGAGCTATCGTTTGTGGCCGGGGTCGCTTCTGAAAAAGAGCTACATAGCTCAGTGGGCTTTACCCGGTGAAAATATAAATCATTAATATATTTAAGAAATATATATGCATACATTGGTTGGGCTTTTCTTAAGAAACATCCCCATTGTTTCAACCTTCTGGATTGCAGGTCCGGTGTGGCTCACCCATTGCCCTGGGGGGCAGCATCATGCGCATATCGATACATCGCGTGTACGAGCGCACAACACACAATGCCAAATTTTTGGTTCTTTCGGTAAAGTCATGTAGGTATAAAATAAAATAAATAACGACGTTTCGGGCGCAACAGACGCGTCCGTCATCAGGTGGGAAAGCGCCTGATGACGGACGCTTGTGTTGAGCCCGAAACGTCGTGATTTAATTTATTTTCTATCTACGTGACTTTACCGAAAGAACCGAGAATTTGAATTCCTGCGGTCAGGAAAGTTTTAAGTAAAAATGTATACAATGCCTTCACATCACCGGCCAGTCTCCCTGTTCTACACTCAACACGTGAAGTCGTAGCCACATCAAAGCCCTCGGCCGAATCGCCCGCCAATGCCCCTGAGCTCGTCCGATCTCAGAAACTCAGCAGCGCCCTGGCCTCGATTCATGATTTCAAGGGCGACCACCATCAGGCACGCACACGAACGAGGTTGTTGTGGACTGCTGCAGCAGCAGGCGTGTCTCTGTGGCTGGCGGAGGCACTAAATATGAAGTTGTTTCGGTAAAGTCACGTAGGTATAAAATAAGAAGGGCGCAACACAAGTGTCCGTCATCAGGCGCTTTCCCACCTGATGACGAAAGAACCAAACAGTATGGATTCCTGCAGTCACGAAAGCTTCAAATCAAGATTCAAATCAAGATGAAGTTGTTGTGCCGGACTTCAGCGCTCGCGCGTCTACGCTATTCCGCCATCACCAATTGGGGTGAAGTATGGTCCAGCAGCCCCCCACGAGCCTTACGGCGTGGGTCGGGGGGGGGCACTCATCCAAGCAGTGGACGGACTCAAAGGTTTGATGCGTGTGCACGTTCAACAGTGAACATGAGCGCAAGGCTCGTGTGCACCGTGAAGGCAGTAGCTTCCGGGGGCTGTAAGCGCATGTGGAGAGAAGCATGATATATACTTGCTCGAGATCGACGGCAGTCCGCGCGCGCAGTCCGCCGTCCTTTTCCCGGCCACCTCCGATTAGCACGGTTGGCTACGTACGGTGTCAAAGAAGTTCAACGTACGTACACACGTGTGTGTGTGCGTGTGTGCGTGCTTGAGACCTCGGGGATGGTTTAAAAAGAGGAGAGGGGAAAGTCCCCGCGGAGTCCGTGGCAGTCGCGAGTGGCGACGCGTTTGTTGTGACTCATGCGGGAGTGCTGCGTGCCGGGAAAACAAACTAAAACACTTCAATTCCCACCGGCACACCGTGGGTGCAACGGTGACTCGGAGATGTTGATTACCTCGCCTGGTGTGCAGGAAGTCGTGGGTTCGATCCCGACCCTGCCGCCCGTATATTGGGTGTTTGCGCGTCTTTCTCTATCCCCGTGGTCGCGTGGATTTTTCTCCGGGATCCTCCGGTTTTCCCCTTCACATTTAGAAGCAATGTGCGTTTAGAGTATTTGGCTGATATGTAAGTGTCTACATGATGAGCCACTCCGTTGAGCTATAAGTTGTGGCCAGGTCGCTTCTGTAAAAAAAAAAAGCTGTATAGCTCAGTGGGCTTTACCCGGTAAAATAATTTTTATTTATTTACTTTAATAGCAGGGATGATGTCTAGGGCACTGCACGTGCCTTCAAGTGGCACTCATTGCCATCGGCCGCCCAGAGCCGCTGGTGGAAATTCCACATTCCCACGGCGAGAGCCATTCTTCCCTCGGTACAGCCGCTGATAGACTTCCCCAAACAAGTGGTGATGCTCATTTTGTATCACCGACCCTGGAGGGATGATGATGGGCTGAGTAAACCTTTTGACCAGGATTGAACTTGCGGGAAATCATCACCACCTCCTTCCCACCCTCTACCCCTAATTTATTTATTAAGGCCCACATTTTGCTTTCTGTTTCAACAATGAGCGGCGATTTTCAAGGGTTCAGATACGACTCATAAATCGCGCGCAGCGTGCTGCTCGTGTGCCCGCGAAACGTCATTAAACATCACCACCACCACGCGTGCTTTAAAGATTGCGAGATGCTTCGGCGCATCCGTGTTTAATACTGAACTGCTCAATCCGGAGTGTTCTGTGAGGTCTGTAGTAGTGCTAACAAAAAAAAATACACACAACCATTGCAAACTCGCATAACAAAGAAACCCCCGTCTTAGCCTGCACCAACTGTTGGGGCAAGTGCTGTTAGCGAGCACCTATGAAGGCCGGCGCGGCACCACGAGGGGGTTGATGTGGCCAGTCCCACGCCCGGCCGCCTTTGTCTCCCCAGTGGCGATGTTTAACCACCACGCCAGGTAGGGCCAAGCGCTGTCAGCAGCGAGCAGCAGCATCTATGAAGGCCGGCACTGTGGTGCACACAGAGTGCGGTGGGTTGACCGACACCGCACTCTGTGGCAGTATACCTTCATAGCACATGAAGGTATACTGCGGCGACGTTAACACACCGAACCAGGTACTCGTTTGAGGCTGCGTCGACCTCGGGGAGGCCCGGGACCGGTTCAGATATTCGCCACGGTTATCGATCGTGAGCGGGAATCGAACTCGGCTCGCCGGGTTCGGTCGCGCGGCGCGCTAACCAGTGCGCCACCGCTCCCCACATGGATACACAAGCGCAGCATACACCTGCAGGGCACGGGTAGCACGTTCAAAGTGTCCTCGGTGTAAAGGACAACGCTGCTGTGGCATCGCCGACAGCAATGCCATGTCATCGAGCAACCCACCGAGACGAATCGGTGACCTACAGGGCGTCTATATTCACCGCACAATTAACAAACAGCGGGAACAAAATGACCCGTCAACAACACTGTGGCCTTAAAAATATATATAAGAGGTGACGTTTCGGGCAATAGCCCTTCATGTGCTATGAAGGTATACTGCCTGAAATGTTGCCGATTTTTATTTTTTATTTTACGGCAGTGTTGTTGATGAGTGTGTGTTGAGTTGGTTGTTGTTGTTGTTATTGGTGCTTGTGCATGATTGTCAGTGGGGCAACAGCAGCATCACCTAAATAGTTTAATTATTCACCCCCTCCCTCCCCCCTACCCCCGTAGCGTTTTTATGACATTAACTTGATGCATTTAAATAACACAATAAAACAATGACAATGGTTGCGTCCTTCATAATGACGATACAATAATCATATTGCGGTTACGCAAAATCGAGCATCGCGACGTTTAAAAACGTAGATCTGCGAGGAAAAATGCAACCTTTGCAAAACAAAATCGTCTTGGGCAACATTGTCCGTGTGTACGACTTCTAGAAACAAAACGGGGCACGTGTCATGCTAAAGCTGTTGGAAACGGAAGAGAGGATTGAGCAGCACCGTGGGGGTGAGGGGCCGATAGGTCAAATTATCGACGTAACACGCCTTGACCTCGTTCGCGTATGCTACATATCGCTCGTTGAAATCGGCGGAAAGCTCTCTCTGGGAGATGTTCTCCGGCCGGACACACGTATACATTACAAACATGCAAAGAGGCGTGTTAGCTTATTCTAACCCGAAGACGTTCACGAGCTCCCTCAACCCGCGCGCCGTCGTCACTAATATGATTGTAAACTTTTATTTTTAAAGCTCGAACACCGCCGCTTAACCTCCCTTGGGGCTTGCTACGCAGAACTCCGCGATGGCGCTTTGCCGGAGAAAGGAGGAACTTGCGTCGTGGATTCGGGTGGAAGCCAAAACACAAATGAAAGTCTCAATAGAGCTGTTCTTCCTGGGTCAGATCTCGTGAACGTGAATGCGTGCCGTTGAACCCGCCACCACCCGACACAGCCAATGAGTGAGGTTTGTCACGTAAAATAAAAACGTGCGCCATCGCCCCCTTCCTCTGTCGCGACATCTCATTCCCTTTCCAAACCCGATTACTAACGGCCGTACTTACCCCACCGATCCTTCCTTTATTTTGCCATTTTTCTACCGTGGTTGGCAAGCGTTGTCAAGCGTCTTAGCGAAAGGCGCCTTATGAATCCAAAATAGAATAGAATCCCAATTTGTTACTACTTCAGCACACCGGTGTGTCGAAGAGTAAACCCACAACGTTCGCAATTGCGGGTTCACTCTCCAACACACAACCGGCGTGCTCTACTAGTAACGAATTGGCACGGTTTGTTTACGGGACAAACCTCGCTCCATTGGTTTAACACGCAGGCTTTCGCGACCAATATCATCCATAATATAGGTGTTCTTTTGGGTTATATCGCGTAAATGGACCATGTCGGGTGGTGGCGGGTTTAACGACATTTATATTAGCGCAATCTCACCCAAAAAACCTCTACGATGAACGATATTGATCGTGAAAGCCTCCTCGTACTCTTGCGTGTTAAACAAATCAAAGCCTTCGTTACGCTGACTGCCTCGGAGGGCCAAAGTATGCTTGGGACCCAGGGGACGTCGCGGCTACAAAAAAAAATCAAGCGATGGGAGGCCGATGGATGGATGGATGAGTCTCGTGAAGGAAAATGCAGTGAAACTCCTCTTAACGACGCTAATTGATTCCACGAAACCGGTCCTTGAGTGATTTGGTCGTTAAGTGAGTATCGGAAAGAGACGTTCTAGGCTTGATTCGTTCCGAGAGCATCGAACGTTACCCCATTAAACAATGGATACTAACACAAAAAGACACTCACAACATTATAATCACATCATATTAAAATAAACATGGTTAATCAATGCATTAATTAATATGCACTGTACCTACAACTGCCTGTCGTTAACAGGGGAATGGTCGATAAGCGAACACACTGGGCTCTATGGAGGCCCGTCGTTAAGTGATCAGTCGTTCGTAGGGGTGGTCGTCAAGAGGGGTTCTATTGTAGAGCGAAGCAGCGAAGGGGGGGGGGGGGGGATGGAACGTGCGTTCCCCCACGGAGATGGAGCGAGATGCGGATAATTTTTCGCGCGAGCGAGATGGCTGGTAGTGTCACGGGTCGACGGCCAGCCAGCAGTGGACAGACACTGGTTGATGGTAGTGATGACGGCGGCTATCAGTTGGCTTAGGTGAGTCTGTGACCACACTACAGCCGCGTGTGCACGCAGGGAGTTAATGCAACGCAACGTCGGACTGTGACGTTAAAAGCTTCCTCTGTGATACAAAAACGAATCATGAGTAGACATTTTTGGCCAGAATTAAGGAGTAAATTCTTATAATAAATACATTTCAGCAATTACTAATCGCTAACCCTAACCATAAAGTGCCCATCTGTTTCTATTAATACTGTATAGGTATCGGGGAGGCATGATGGGGCAAGTGCGTTTTAGCACACGACACTGAAGCTGCCCACCAGAGTTTGATTCCCAGCCCATGGCAAGCTAACGTCCTTAGGGAATTCCTGCTCCTGGGCATCGCTATGGTGAAGTAGGTCAAACAACCTTCACAGCTTTGGGGGGGGGGAGGATTTAATCCAACAGTGGGTTACCAATGGGCGGCACATTATTACAAAATATTGTTAAATTACATGCACATGTGGAAATATTTTTTAAAAAGCTGACATGAATTAATTAGTGTAATTGGAATTATTTCCCCATGCCCTCGTAGCCTTCAAGTCGAGCGCGCACAACGTACGTACAAATATTAAATACACACGTGTGGTTCATGGCTTTGAAGCCACAACTTGGTCGGTCAACAGTGGGTGTCCAACGAATGAGACTGGCCTCTGCCATGGGAATGTGGAATTTCCCACCAGGGCTACCAACAGAGATGGGTGCCCACGCTACGGTGGTGAAAAATCTCATTGCAGAATAGTTCTCGTTTTACTAGACCCTGGAGGAACGACCGACGACGACGACAACGATTGTGGGATTTAAAGTCCCCGCCACTTCTTGTATTGGCAGCTGTTCGGTGCTGCTGTGTCGCCATCACCGGATTGGCGGCTCTGCCGATGGTGCCTTCACCAACCGGGGTTGAAAATCCGCGGCCCGACGTCTTAGGGACAGCGGCACGCTCTCCACCGAGCGAATGTGGAATTCCCCACGGCCGGCCCCGGCTGGATCGCGCAGCGAGACAGCAGCCTCGCCGACCGTCGCTACAAGAAAGGCACCAAGTTGGGTTTGACCAACAGCAGCGCTCCGAAGCCCAGCACCGTGACGACGATCGTCGACACGATCACCAGCGTGGCCACGGGGCTCCGGCCGGCGTCCTCCACCTCCACCACGCTCCACGGGGGGCACCCCTCGGCGGTGGCGTTGCGGAGGGGGACGACAGCCGCCGCCGCCGCCGCCCCGCCGCCGCCGATCCGCGAGTCTGACGGCGGGGGCCTCGCGACGCACGTGGCGTCGCCGCGGTCCGCCACGTCGACGCGCGACGCGTCCAGCGCCCCGAGCCACCCGTCGACGGCACAGCAGTCGAACGGGTTGCCGCTCACGTGCAGCGCGAGCAGGGTGGCCGACAGCGCGGCCAGCCCGTCCGCCGGCAGGAGCGCCAGCGCGTTGTCCCGCACGTCGAGCCTCTGGCAGGCCGTGGCGAAGACGCCGGGCGGCACGGCGCTCAGGTTGTTGGCGGGCGCGTCGAGCTGCCGCAGCTTGCGCAGCGACGGGAAGTCGACGGCGCGCCACCACCGCCACAGCGCGGAGCCGCCCAAGTCCAGCGCCTCCAGCGTGTGCTCCAGGCCCCGCAGGAGCGTCCCCGGCGTGCCGGCGCCCGACGGCGCCCCGGACGCGTCGGGAGCTCCCATGTCCAGGTTCGACGACAGGTTGAGGTGCGTCAGCGCCGTGCCTTGGAACGCGCCGGCTCCGAGCGATCGGAGCCGGCACTCGCTGAGATCCAAGTGCCGCAGAGAGGCGGCGCCCGTGAATCGGACGCACTCCTCGCTTCTCCTGCCGTGGCCGAATCTACCGCCGCCGCCGCCGGTGTGCCGCTTCCTGCGACCGCTCCGGCTCCCGCCGCTCCGGCTCCTGCCACCCCCCCCAGAGCGATTGCCGGCCGGCCCGGCCCCGCACACGGCCGTCACGGCGTTCTGGCTCAGGTCGAGCTCCTCGACCGCCCGCAGCTCCTTGAAGAAGGAGGGCGGCAGGCGGGTGAGCGCGTTGTCCCGCAGGCTGAGCCGCCGCAGCGAGGGCCCCATGCTCGCCCACAGGGGCCACGGGGAGGCCCTCCTCGCCGCGTTGGCGTCGGACCGCTGCCCGCCCAGCGACTTCAGAGAGTTGTGGCTCAGGTCCAGCGTCTCCAGGTGGCGCAGCGTGCAGTTGAAGACCTCGTCGAGGTCCCGCAGGCAGTTGTTGCTCAGGCCGAGAGCGGTCAGGGCGGGCGCGGAGGCCAGCAGGCGGTGGGGCAGGCGCTCGACGGCGTTGTGGCTTAGGTCGAGCGTCCGCAGGCTGGCGAGGCTGACGGGCGCGAAAGTCGAGCCGGACAGGTCGTCGTCGGACACGTTGAGGAAACGCCCGGCCAGAATGTCGCGGGGCGGGCCGCCGCCGCCGCCGTCGACCTCCAAGCGGAACTCGAGAGCCTCGGCTGGCGAGTGGAACGCGATGCGGTTGTGCGAGGCGTCGAGGTGCAGCAGCACGTTGTCCCTGGGCAGGCGCGGGAAGGTGAGCAGCCTGTTGTGGCTCAGGTCGAGCGACTCGAGGCGGTAGGGGCCCAGCGAGTCGTCGCTGTCGAAGTGCTCGATGGCGTTGCTGCTCAGGTTGAGGCGGCGCAGGCCGGGCAGGCCGAACGCCGAGACGCACGCCAGCGAGTTGTAGGCGAGCGAGAGGCTCTCGAGGCGCGAGAGCCTCGAGCCGAACGCCCCGGGCGCGACGCTGTGGATGGCGTTGAACTCCAGGTCGAGGTGCGCCAGCGAGGGCAGCGACGCGAACGCGCGCGGCGCCAGCGACCGCAGTGAGTTCCCGGCGAGCGACAGCGACGCCAGCGACGAGCCGTTGAGTTCGGCCAGGAGGCCGCCGAGGGCCGCGTCCCGCAGGCCGTTACGCGACAGGTCGAGGTGCAGCAGGCCGGGCAGCCGCGACAGCGCCCGCGCCAGCGACCGCGCGGTGCCGCCGCCGTCCGCCCGCGAGCCCAGGCGGTTCTCCGACAGGTCCAGCCGCTCCAAGTCCCGGAGGCCCGAGAAGGAGTCGTCGGCCACGGCGTCGAGGCCGTTCCTCCGCGCCGTGAGCACGACCAGAGAGGCGTAGCGGCCCAGCGGGCCTGCGGAGAGCGACGCGATGGCGTTGTCGGACACGTCCAGCTGCAGGGTGTCGCCGGGCAGCGAGGAGGGCACGGCGGAGAGGCCCCGGTGCCGGCAGGAGGCGTGCCGTGCCGTCTGCGGAACGAGAGCGGGCGAGCGAACAAATCGGTCGTCAGTCGTCGGCCAAGGGAGGCGTCCCCCTTCTCGTCGTCGTCATTGTCCCGCCGTGAGGCGTCACATTCCACACCGGCTACCTGCTGTAGGACCGCACGAGAAGTTGAATTCCTCGTCGCTCCGTCTCCCCCGTGGACGCGTTGCACTCCTTGGCTGTCGCTCGGCCGAGCGACCGACCGGTCGACCGAGCGACCGACCGATCGTAATTTAGATCGCACACATTGTGTCGCTAAAGGTGTCTCGCAGCGCACGACAGATAAAGCGACGTACGCTCGGGCAGAATAGTTTAAAACTAGTTTTCGTTAGATTGAAGACCAAATGACCAAACTCAAAGGAATGACAACGATAAGCGCAGATATGCAGCCAACCGCTTCACCTGTTGGCGCTATTATATTGTTAGAGACGAACGGCAGAGGTGGGTCTTTCAACAAGCGTTAACAAATGTTTAAATGGTAAAAAAAACAATGGTCTTCATCCTCATCGGAAGTTCTCTGGATAGGCTTTGCACCGGGCGTTTGAACGTGTGTGTGGTGCAAGAATCAGAGTTTACGCGCAGGGATGAGTTTCATCGAAAGTGAGATTCTAATCGTGTGACCTCTCACCAATCCAAGACCCACACGCCGTGACCTCGGTCAGCACGTGGATGGATGCCATCCTCAATGTAATCATCATCAACATCATAATCGTTATCACCATTATCATCAAAATCAACATAATCATTAACATCAAAATCCATATCAACATTAACATCCACATCATCATCATCGGCATCAACATCATCATCACCCTCATCACCTACATCGTCATTATCAATATATGCGTAATCATGAAGATTAGCACGGCTGGCTACATACGGTGCGAAAGAAGTTCAGTATACGTACACGCATCAACATCATCGTCGTCGTCATCAACTTACAATCAGGCAGCCGGAGGAGTCCAGTGCAGGCACAGTCACGAAGTTGTCTTCTCGGGGCCTAAACGTGGCCCCATGACCTTGTAGGGTCACCAGGAGATACAAAAAGATGCTGACCAACCACATGGTCCCTCCTCCTTCTCTCCTCATCGTCTTCCTCCCTACACCTCTCTTCCTCCTCCAGCAAAGAGCGTCTCTTTTCTGTCCGTTCTTCTCGAGCGCCTCGTTCTTAGGAGCGGTGCTGCAATTCCCACTTCAGATTGCCTTTCCATGAACCTGCAAGTCAACAGGGTCGGTCGGTCGGCATCCTTTGTTCAAACAAGACATTAATCAGTTGTTCATAATAAAGGTTCTTGGGTTAGATCGCGTTTATTTATAAATGTGTCGCAACCCTCCACCACCCAAATTTGTACATGGAAAACTTTGAAATAAGAGCACTTGCCTCGAGCACATTAAAACCATCCTTTTGGTTTAGGTATGTGGATGACACTTTGGTTGTCTGGCCACATGGTAAAGATACACTTAATGATTTTCTAAATCATCTCAATGCACAAAACCCGGCCATCCAATTCACCATGGAAATGGAGGTGAATAACACACTCCCATTCCTAGATATTTTGCTTGGACATGGCCTAAACGGTAAAATAACACACAGCGTTTACAGAAAGCAAACGCACACTGATGCCTATCTGAATGCAGAATCACATCATCATCCAGCTCAAAAATCCTCTCTTATCAAGACGCTCGTACATCGGGCGAAAACAGTGTCAGATGGTGAGAGTCTAGTGAGAGAGATTAAACACGTTAAAGACGCACTACGACAGAATGGCTACAATAATGCTCAAATTAACAGAGCACTGAATGCCAAATCACGATCGCAAAGCAATACTACTGAAAGCGACCAGATTGTTAAAACAATAAAAATTCCATATATCTCAGGAGTAACTGACAAATTAGCCCGTGTTTTGCAAAAGCAAAACATTACAGTAAGATTTGGTACAGTACACAAAATTCAAAAACTAGTATCTTGCACTAAAGACGCATTACCTAAACTATCAACAGAAGGTGTATATCGGATTAATTGTTCATGTGGCAGCTGCTACATTGGGCAGACGGGACGTAACATCAGCGTAAGACTAAAAGAACATCAGAGAAATATTAAATTATCTCAAACACAACTGTCGGCAGTGGCAGAACATGCTTGTCAACAAGGACACTCAATTGATTTTGACAATGTTGCAGTGGTGTGTAAAACTAATTATTACTGGCAAAGACTAATTAGAGAATCCATTGAAATTGAGAGGAACAAGAATAACTTTAATCGCTCTGACAGCTACCGGCTTAGTGCGGCCTGGAAGCGTATTATTAAATAATACACATTACATTTTGATTTAAAGAATTACTAATCTACAACTCATTACTAATCATAACCAATGACTGATTACTAATCGATTATATAATTACATTACACCCCCCCCCCCCTCCGCCTCTAATCACTGCACCTGATGAGTTAAGTGATGACGTCACCCTGCTGCCCTATATAAAACCGGGAGCAAGCGAGGGCTTTACCATTCTGGCGAATTGCCCGATGATGCTGGAAGTATTTACCAGCGAAACGTCGTACTCAAACTGTAAATGTGGATTAGCTCTTCAACACACCGGTGGGCTGAAGTAGTGAATTATTTGTCTTTGTCAACGTGACACTTTTTGCTGATTGGCCGTGTCGGGTGGTGGAGGGTTGCGACACATTTATAAATAAACGCGATCTAACCCAAGAACCTTTATTATGAATAATATTGGTCGCGAAAGCCTACGTGTTAAATTAATCAGTTGCCTGAACCATTGGGTGATTCATGTTTTATATATGTAATATCGCAACCTCCGATTAGCACGGTTGGCTACGTACGGTGCAAAAGATGTAACATGCACGGTGGCTTGGAGATGTTAACTGCCTCGCCTGGTATGCAGGAGGTCGTGGGTTCGATCCCGACCCTGACGCCTGCTGTGTATTTGGAGTTTGCGTGTCTCTCTCTCCCCCTGTGGCCGCGTGGATTTTTCTCAGGGTCCTCCGGTTTTTCCCTCCACATTTAGAATCAACATCACGCGTTTGGAGTATTTGGCTGCTAGAAGTTTCCGCACGATCAGCCACTTCAATTCGGCTATCGTTTATGATGGCGGGGTCGCTTCTGAAAAGCGCTACATCGCTCAGTGAGCTTTGCCTGGTAAAATAAAACTAGCGGCAGCAGTAGTAGTTATATGCGTGTGAAGATCGATATTGATTTACAACCCACGCTCAAATCCACTGCTGGATGAAGGCCACCCCATGCAATGCCGGTCACGGATGCGGGTGGTTGCGTGGGCGGTGTTTTTGCCATATTTCACCACTCTGGTCAGTGTGGGGTTTGTTGAGGGGGTCGTGGGCCCGGGTACCGGTTTAATGTAGATCTCGCCACCCCCCCCCAACCCCCACTGACGTTAGCCGTGGCCGGGAATCGAACTCGGGCCAAAGCAGCCGGCTTGGGAGAGCGCGCGGTGCGCTGCAGCCGCTCCACCTGGCCGGGCAAGCCTCTGCTTGTTTTGCGCAGGGTACTTTACCTCTCTTAACAAATATAACTAACGAGTGAAGCTACGATGACTCACTATATCGAGATTAATTTAACAACAACAACAACAACACTCGACACATTCGCCAAAAACAACACTGCCGTTTAAAAAAGGAAGATAATAACAAAGAGATATAACGGGCGACGTTTCGGGCGTTAATCCTCCTCCATCATGCACGCAAATCAAGATCAAGTTGTCACCATAGCCCAATGCTGCTCGTGGCACCACCACCACCGCACCTCATTCAACCCCTGCGCCAGAAACCCACAGCTGTTGCTACAAAGACAAAGGTCCCCCGTGTAGCCTTAACAGATTGTTGGGGCAAGTGCTGTCAGCGAGCACCTATGCAGGCCGGTACGGCACACGAGGGTGAGTGGCCAACACCACGCCCGGCCGCCTTTGTCTCCCGAGTGGCGATGATTAAACACCGCACCAGGTACTCACGTGAGGCAGAGTCGACCTACGGGAGACCCAGCTCACGGCCAACTACAGTTGACTTCGAGACGGCCAACTATAGTGAGCTGGAATCGAACTCGGCTCGCCGGGGTTCGTAGCCCTGTGCGCTAACCACTACACCACCGCTCCCCAAAGCAGCACGGGACACACGCACACACATATTCCTTGTTGTACTTTTAAGTGAATATTTACTCTATACTGCTGATCCTCGCTCAGATGCACGCCATAGATAGTCGCGGGAGCGTAGAAGTACAGCACAACAATGCACGTGCTGCACTGCCCCATGCTGCCCACCGAGGCAACCCCGCAGCAGCCTATAACAACCATCATATGACAACCATTCTATAATAACCATCCTTGAACAACCATATAGCAAGCATCATATAACCCCTATCCTATAACAAGCATCCAATAGCAATCATAATATAACATCCATTCAATAGCAACTATCATTTAACAGCGACTCTTAAAGAACAGCCTTGCCACGACAAGCTCACTCCGTCTCGAAGCGTGCATCAATTTACCTGCGGTCAGCGTCGTGATATGGGGGGGTGGGGAAGAGGCATGCCAAAATAATTGGCAGCTAAAATAAAATGAATGTTGAGCAGCCACCCATTCGCTGCCGGTCGCGTCGCTCTGTCTCGCTCGCCGTGAACCGCCGTGTCACGATGCTGCCCCGCGCGCCTCGCTTTATAAAGGAAGCGAGCAGAGATGTTAGGGCTTCCCTGAGTCAAACACTCAGAAACGTAGAATACGATCACATTGGGGGTGGAGTGGGGGGGTGGTCGAGGTGAGTCAGCAGCGTCAAGCGACCCAACGCTGCCAACCCAACAACCACCGTTCGATGATCAAGCGCAAGGGTTCTAATAAATAATCATCGTGCGCCAGGTGGTATATGTACTGGTCCCTGGAAGCCAAATCCACCGTCGCCAAACGTGCACTGCGACACTCGCGGGCCGAGCAGCGTGCTGAAGGATGTTCAAACAAGCACCATGACTGGCACGAAAGGCAGAGGACCTTCATCCAGCGGTGGATTGACAAGGGGATGAATACTCTGTTGTTATTATTGAACGGCGTGCAATATTGATGGCTCCTGCTGATAACTTGTGCTTATTATTATTACTCCTGGAACTGTAGTTACTGCTGCTGCTGATAATGATCATGATGACTATGGTGATGGTAATGATGATGGTAATGATGATGATGGTGCCGTGGCTGCTGCTGCTGCTCATTATTTTAATAATCCAGCCTTTCCCTAAATTTCCAAGGGAGCTTCCCAGGGGCTCGGTTCGCATTTCCCCTTTAGCTCTCCGCCATAAACAAAGTGACGCTGGACTCAACGCATGCGGTAATTCCTATCGACACGCCGCTGATGTTGTCCTCACGCAACAAACCCAGGTGGCGGTGCCTGTGCCAGGCCAGGTGCACCCACGTGGCCACGCGAAGCATCGAAGGCTCGCCCGACACGGGAGTTATAACGGAACAAATTTAGCGTGACGCCATGGGGTTTGACTCACCGAGACGATTGGAAGATGCACCAACAACAACAACAACCGCCGTTCGCCACTAAGTGGCGGGTGACGCCACCACGGCGCTTGTGCCAGGCTAGGTGCACGTTGAGGCCACGTGAAGTGTCGAACGCCCGCTGGCAGCAGGAGGTCACGGGGCAGACCCAGCAGGTGCCACGGCTCGACTGACTGAGATGAGTGGCCGATGCGCCACCCGTGCCATCCAGCCTCTTGCTGCGCCAATTCAAGTGGATGGGCCACGGGTCACGCTCTTAACGTGCACCGGTAATTCTAGAGCTCCTTTCTCATCTGTTGCGCTGGTGCCACCTTTAGGCGACTATCCACGTGCTTTGCTCTGTCAGTTGCTCTCCGTCTCTCCCGCTCGTGTTCGATACGATCCGTCTTATTCACACGTGCGTCTTTGGCAATGTACAATTTCGCGTGGCATCGAAAATTATGTAAGTCCAGTCGCAGGAGGTTTTCAATCGCTTTGGCGTTTGAGCACGCCGCGTATCTCAACGCGATGGCGAGTCACGCGGATGGAAAGCGCGCAGTGGTGATTTGTTAAGTGTCGTTAACAACACTGCTGATGTCTTATCGGCGAAAGTTGGGGGGCCCCCCCTCTCCTCCTCCTCTGAAAATGAGTGAAGAACGCCGTGGTTTAGGGCCATGCTGACGAGACGCTGAATTTATAGAAGCCACTCTCGGAGTGTTCTTTGCTTGCATTGAACCAATGCTGCTGACAGAAGTCACTCCCGGAAGGCGTTGCGGGGCTGATGGGATGTGTACAGAAAAATAAAAGTTGTATTTGAAGTGTATCTGCAGCGGTAATGGCATCGCGGTAATAAAAATAATGTTAAGAAAATTATAATCTATTCTTTTTTACCCTATCTGGCAATAAAACAGGTGGGTGTTAAGATGTCCAAACAGCAAATAGATTATTTTTTGAGGAATCAAGTGACTGCGTTAACCACACACACGGTGCTTGTGGTGAACATTCAAGCAAACAAACACGTGACTCCGATAGTCGATGGTGGCATCGTCTTTGAAACTGATTGGTCTCCACCAGAGACAGCGGCCTTCTTTTCGGCCTCGTTTCACCACCGGTGTGCAGACCAGAGAACGGCAAAAGACGAACAGGACAAGGACAATGCCACTCTCAGAGCATTCATAGCTCGTGGTGACCAGCTACATCATGGGACCCTTTTCAACCATCTTCACATCTCCCGTTATATTCGCCAGAAAGGGTAAACGCTATCCTTACGTTCCCCACTTCGACACTGGCAAAAAGGGTCCCGTGAACAGGAGCGCGACGTTCATTCAACTCTGCGTCGATCCACTGCTGGATGAAGGCCTCGCCGAGGCTGGCAGCGCAGTGTGCGAACCGCAGCGCCACCGCTCGGAGAGCGTGTGGGCTGAGAGAGTTCAGGGAATAGAGGTGGATGGGTAGCGAACATTCGTGACAGACCAACACGTTAGCCCCACGCGCGTTCTTCGAGTCTGTGCGCGTGTGTCTGCGGTGGAGCGGTGTGGCGCAGTTGGCCGCACGCGGCACAGCGAACCCCGGCCACCTGAGTTTCGAGTGAGGTCTTAGCCAGATAACCCGCACCACTACCCCCTTCACCCACAGAACCCGCACCGCAAAGCCGTGGTGCAGCATGGCCAAAGAACTCCCTGGCTGTGTCAATCCAGCAGTTGGATTGACACAGGGCTGAAACATCGTGATTACGAGAAGCGCGTGCGTGTGTGTGTGAGAGAGAGAGCAGTAGTACAGGATCCACCCGGGTTCGATTCACCGCTCACGGCCACCAATACCAGTGACGATTATCCGAGCCGGTGCTGGGCCTCCCCTAGGTCGACTCAGCCTCAAAAAATGAACCGTTACCTGGGCGCGGTGTGTAGACATTCCGCCAGCGCTCGTCGCTGACGGCTCTGGTCGAGGCGATACGAGGACGAGGAGGAGGATGCGAATGATGAGGAGGAGGATGAGGAAGGGGAATTCTCTGTCTGCCTCTCACGTGCGTGCGCTCGCTCGCCACTTACTTGCCCAACTTGCAGACTTCACGGCTGACGATGACAACAAAGCACCCGGGAGGGTCTCCTGCCTGCTGACACTCGCGTGCCCCCCCCCCCCCCGAAGAGTAAAACACCCTCCCGCTGCCGGGGGGGGGGGGTAGGGTGGAGTGGGGGGTGGTCCGGCGTAACTCCTCCTGCCGACTATAACCCTCCACGCAAGTCGAGGTTGGCGGTGGGTGTCGGTCTCTCTCTCCCCCCCGCCACCTCTCTCGTCCAGACGAGGGATGATCGCGGCGGCCGTTGGCACCACCAGCGGGCTGTAGCGGCGATCGTGAACCGCGCAGCGCCTTTTGCTGTCCCCTGCCGAGATGGTGGCGCTCGCTGGCGGCGCCGCGCTCCTGAAGTTCCCCACTGAGAGCGGCGAGGCGCGGGGAGGTGAGGGAGGGGAGGGAGTTGGCATCCCCGAGTGTGTGGGGGAGGACTGCCCACGTGTCTCTCTCTCTCTTTCCTTTTCCTCGCTCGCTCTGTCTCGCTCTCATCCGCTCGGTCTGTCTCTCAGTGTCCGCCTCTCGCTGTGTCTCTGTCTGTGTCTCTCTGTCTCGCTCTCATCCGCTCGGTCTCTCAGTGTCCGCCTCTCGCTGTGTCTCTGTCTGTGTCTCTCTCTGTGTCTCTCTCTGTCTCCCTCTCATCCGCTCGGTCTGTCTCTCAGTGTCCGCCTCTCGCTGTGGCTCTGTATGTGTCTCTCTGTCTCGCTCTCATCCGCTCTGTCTGTCTCACAGTGTCCGTCTCTCGCTGTGTCTCTGTCTCTCTCTGTCTCGCTCTCATCCGCTCTGTCTCTCAGTGTCCGTCTCTCGCTGTGTCTCTGTCTCTCTCTGTCTCGCTCTCATCCTCTCTGTCCCGCTCTCATCCGCTCTGTCTCTCAGTGTCCGTCTCTCGCTGTGTCTCTGTCTCTCTCTGTCTCGCTCTCATCCGCTCTGTCTCTCAGTGTCCGCCTCTCTCTCTGTCTGTCTCTGTATCAATTTGTTCTCTGTCCGTCCCTCTGTCTGTCTCTGTCTACGTGCTATTGTCTATTAAGTGTCTCTCCTTGTTTGTCCCTGTGTCTCCGTGTCGCTGTGTCCCTATCTCTGTGTGTCTCTAGGTCTGTGTCTGTCTCCGTGTCCCCCCTGTCTCCGTGTCTGTCTCCGTTTCTCCGTGTCTGTCTCCGTGTCCCCCCTGTCTCCGTGTCTGTCTCCATGTCTCTGTGTCTGTCTCCGTGTCTCTGTGTATGTCTCTCTGTGTCTGCCTCTCTGTGTCTGTCTCCGTGTCTCTGTGTCTGTTTCCATGTCTCTGTGTCTGTCTCCATGTCTCTGTGTATGTCTCTCTGTGTCTCTGTGTCTGTCTCTCTGTGTCTGTCTCTCTGTCTGTCTCCGTCTTTCTGTGTCTGTCTCCGTGTCTCTGTGTATGTCTCTCTGTGTCTGTCTCCGTGTCTCTCTGTCTGTCTCCGTGTCTCTGTGTCTGTTTACATGTCTCTGTGTCTGTCTCCGTGTCTCTGTGTATGTCTCTCTGTCTGTCTCTCTGTGTCTGTCTCCGTGTCTCTGTGTCTGTTTCCATGTCTCTGTGTCTGTCTCCGTGTCTCTGTATATGTCTCTCTGTCTCTCTGTCTCTCTGTGTCTGTCTCTCTGTGTCTGTCTCCATGTCTCGGTGTCTGTTTCCATGTCTCTGTGTCTGTCTCCGTGTCTCTGTGTCTGTCTCTCTGTGTCTGTCTCCGTGTCTCTGTGTATGTCTCTCTGTGTCTGTCTCTCTGTCTGTCTCCGTCTCTCTGTGTCTGTCTCCGTGTCTGTCTCTCTGTGTCTGTCTCTCTGTGTCTGTCTCTCTGTGTCTGTCTCCGTGTCTCTCTGTCTGTCTCTGTGTCTCTGTGTCTGTTTCCATGTCTCTGTGTCTGTCTCCGTGTCTCTGTGTATGTCTCGCTGCCTGTCTCTCTGTGTCTGTCTCCGTGTCTCTGTGTCTGTCTCCGTGTCTCTGTGTCTGTCTCTCTGTGTCTGTCTCCGTGTCTCTGTGTCTGTCTCTCTGTGTCTGTCTCTCTGTGTCTGTCTCTGTGTCTCTGTCTGTCTCCGTGTCTGTCTCCGTGTCTCTGTGTCTGTCTCTGTGTCTGTCTCCGTGTCTCTGTGTCTGTCTCCGTGTCTCTGTGTCTCTCTGTGTCTGTCTCCGTGTCTCTCTGTCTCCCTCTCGGTGTCTCTCTATACCTCAGTGTCCCTCTCTGCGCGTCTCCACCGACTTACCGAATTTGGCTAAAAGCACAACGAACAAACGAAACACAAAAACCCCCCGACCCTCAATATTACCAAGAATCCGCAAGGCAACAACAAGAAACGTCACGGAGCCCCTGGGCCCATCAAGAGTCACCGCAGCTGCCTGACACCGACCTGGACACACAGCCTCCCCCACCCCGCCCCGTGGGGGTGCTGAAGGGAGGGAGAGAGAGGGGTCGTGGCACCTCCGATTGGTGCGGTTCGCTCAGTGCCGGATTATCACAGTAGCACAAGTAGCTACACATGTAGTAGCTGCAGTAGCAACACGTGTAGTAGCTACACATGCAGTAGCTACTACATGTGTAGCTACTACATGTGTAGTAGCTACTACACGTGTAGTAGCTACTACACGTGTAGTAGCTACACATGTGTAGTAGCTACACATAGTAGTAGCTACAACACGTGTAGTAGCTACACATAGTAGTAGCTACACGTGTAGTAGCAACACGTGCAGTAGCTACACACGTGTAGTAGCTACACATGGGGCCGTCCATAAATGACGTCACGCGATTTTGGACGATTTTTGACCCCCCCCCCCCCCTCGTCACACGGCGTCACAAAAAGTCAAACCCCCCTCAAATATGACGTCAAAAAGCTCTGCCCCCCCCCCCCAAAAAAACACACATTTCCATGCTTCAAATCGCTTTAAACTATTGTCATTGTAGCGCTGCACTCTGATGTTGTATGAGAAAACATTTATTAAAAAGTCTATTTAAGTAGAACGTGTTGTCTATATTTATTTAAAGTTGCGCATTTTTACGTGACGTCACATTTCTCAACACCCCCCCCCC